GCAAATCTGGCCGAAATTACCTCATTGTGTGTAAGAAGAATTGGGACGAATCAATGGGTAGCACGCCGATATTCAACGTTGTTGATCACGGAGACACATGTACCATCCCCCCCCCTTTTGCATCCCGAAACCTAACCAGGAGGCACAGCACAGGGAACCCTCCAAAAACACATCTCCAACATCTTTGGCATCAAGACTGGTTTCCACGGAACAATTGTCTCGTCGTTTGCTAGACTGAATCTTGGCTCTGCTGTCGACGAAGAGAACGACGAGATCCTCCAACCGTGGGGCGACCTGCTCAACGAGGCCGGTATAACCAGACCCGGCCCCATAAATCCGTACCTAGATAACGAGCTTGTTAAAGACGACGACCTCAGTCTTGATGGCACACGCTTCGAAAAGGTCACTGGGTTCGGGTACCGCATGCCGGAGATAACGGAGGAAGGGCTGCGGGAAGTGATTGACAGCTATCGGCGGCTGAATTGGTGGCCACCGATGGAGCCGGGGAATGGGGAGAATGGGGAGAACGGACAAGCCGTAGTAGCGGAGGCAGCTAGAAGATGATTTGCGGGGAGCTTTTTTTTAATTCCATTCCCACCTTTTATCATAAATATCGAGAGAAGTGAGCTTGGTTGGCAGAGGAGGGAAGTCTTTCACCCCCTTTCACCCTCTTCCTCCATGTAGCGGACTAGAGAGGAAGAAGGAAAAGAAATAGCTTGTGTTTTCTGTCTTTTCACATCTCCCGCGTTCTCGAATTGTATGATACAAAATATCACCATCATTAAATTTTTCTCATTCATATCACCTTTCACTCGAAGCCCCTACTTTACTGTGGCCCCCCCCCACTCACCGGCAAGATTCTCTAACCTATGATACTAAAAGTACTAATGCCGTAGACCACGACCCACAACGACAACGACACCTTTCTATCATATCATATCCTAGCTTCACAAACTCGCCGAACCCCCCACCATCACACCCGCACGCGTATGATGCACCCCTGACCCATTCAATTGTCCGACCGTACCGTACCTTACCCTACCCTTCCCTCACCCCAGAAAAAGCATTATCCCACCCATCCAGCCCTCCCAGTCGTCCAGTCCGTCCAAGACGGGATCAGGACGACAAAAGACGAGAATGTCTTATCATATCTTTGGACGGCCTGGACGGGGCGACGGCAGTCGACTATGATGGCCAATGCACCCAGCTAAGACACAAACTAGTACCACAACAAGTTAAAATAAATGAAAATTAAAACAAAATAAAGTAATATAGTATCATAAAAGGAAACCCAGGGTTAGCGCAGTCCGACGGTCGTCGGACTGGATGACTGGGGGGGCACTGCACCCAACCATTATTCATCCACAACATCTCACTCGTGACTACCAAAACCTGGCCTAGGATGAAACCAAATACCGCACGACACCCACAGTTTATTGCTATGTAGCATAGATTAACAAGGAAAAGCAGAAACAAAAACCAGGGTGCTGATCTAATTACTCCTCAGCTTGCCCGCTTCCATTTCTGTAAACGAACCCCAATCTCTGTCCATTCATCCATCCATCCACTGGTGCCCTAATTTACAATCCCACCGTTCGTCCGTCAGTTCGTGTAGAGGAAATCATACATTACTCCTTGCCTCCCTCACTCCCTTCCTCCCGTAGTTTGTCCACCGCAATACCACTACAAACGAAAAGTAGAAAACTAAAATACAGGGAAGTGAATGACCAAAATTTATCATGGCCACGAGTTTTTGTTCATTCACCTGCCACTATAAAGGTAAGAGGAGGGGAGCAGGAAGGAAAAAACGCACATCTAATTGATAAGATAAGATAAATACGATACGAAGCCTATGACGTGGAAAGCACGGCGATATGACAGAAAGGAAAGTTGAAAATTGAAAACTGAAAAAAGGGGGGACGTGTAAGCTACTTACATGAATCGAAGGGGTGAAAGTTCGTGCCTTTCTTTTGACACTTTCCCCTCCTCTCCGTGCGCAAAGCGGAGCGAATGAGGGGGGGGGGAGAGGAAAAACAGAGTCCACGAAATGAATAAAAAAGAGGTTTTGGTACAAGCGTGATAGGCATTTTAGAAAGAAAAAAAAGGAAAGGGAAATCGCTAATCAGCGAGGAAAGGGGGTGATCAACAGAAGTGAGTAGTCGTAATACGGTGGGGGAGGAGAAAAGGAAGGGGGTCAGAGAAGGGGAATGAAAGTAATAACAGAATCTGGAATAATTTACATAAACCTTAAGCAAAGGGTTGGATTCTCTTTATTTCCTTTTTTTTTTTTTGCTTCTCTCTGCTCCATTGTCTAGAACAGGAAACAGGGTGATTGTTATGATGATGCCACCTCGTTACCCGCTATACCAGCATGCAGAGCAAGGCAAAGGCCAGATGGTAGTATCCAAGAACGTTGCAATAGTTTATTTTGGGTGGATTTTGCTCCTTAGGGGTGAAGGGGATGGATTCTGGAGGTTACTTAAAACTTCCAATCCCCATCGGCAGACTCAATCGCCCACTTGAATTTATCCCGCAGGGTCTTCGCAAAGATTTTCTCTATGGGGACACCGTATTTCTTGCAGAACATGACAGTGAGACGGGGGTCAATGTAGTTCTATAGTCATTAATAATTGAGTGTAAAATTCGAGGGGGGGGGGTACGTACGATCTTACTGGTGCCCAAGGCGACTGTCTTGTTGTCCTCTCGAACCTGGGCCTCGGTTTCCTGCTTCTTGATCCGTTCCTCCATTTTTTGGATCTGGGCCTCGAGCTTCTCGACGGTCGCTCCGCGCTTAGGTTCGATTTTGCCGGTTTTGTTCTCTGTCTTGAACTCTGCTTCCATATCTTTAATGACCTGTAAACGTTCCTTGAGCTCTTTGTCTTTAAGCACTTTTTCTCCGTTCTCCTGAAGCTTCTCATTATCCTTTTCAAACTTCTTGGTAATACGCTCTTTCTCCTGTTCAACGAGGGAAAACTGGTGCTCCTTGATCCATTCCTCGTCATCAATTTCAGGATCAGGTTTGAAAAAAGCGGGATTCTTCTTCTTGCGGGTTGGTTCGAGAGAAAGAATCATCCTCTTTAGACGAAGCTTCTGGTACCTGAGTCCTTTGATCTATTTCAAACCTTATTAGCATCGGAGGTAAGGAATGGGTGAGATCAAGGTTAACCTTTTCCTCCTGTTTCTGCATCATGGTCTCGTGAGTAGTGCTCACGGTCCGTTGATGGTTACAGAGGATAGCGACCTTCTTATTGGCGAGGTTATATGCGGCATATTTCTCATGTACAGCGCCCTCATTTGGAATCTCGTCCAATTGTTCCTGCATGGTCCAAGATGCGTTATAGGTACGGAATACTTTGGCTGAAAGTCCTTGCATATAGTTCTGAAGATGCTTATTTAATTGGGTCGTCTGAAGGTGATGTTAACATATTAATTCAACTAGAGGACTTAAAAGGGCGACTCACATCAAGACGATCAAAGATCATGTCACCCTTGGTCTTAGGTGCCTTCTTGAAAATCTTCAAGTTCTTAAACACCTGATGAATAACAGGGGTTTTCTGGTAAAACCTGATCGAGTCCTTACCCAAGAAATCGAATACAACAACATTCGGAGGCTCCAATGTAATGTGCTCATAACGAAGCGAACAACAACCGACCGTGTCTGCTTCATCATCGCTCTTCTCATTTCCTGCTCTGAGTGCCAGCTTGTCGATGAGGTACATCGCCGTGGCTCTTTGGCGGTCAGCCATAAGCTCAGATTTAAGGTCCCGTGTATAATCCTCGCGGATACGATCTATATGATTCTGTGGTGGGGTTAGTTGCGTTTTCATGAGACGGCTGGAACATCGGAATTAGGGTGTGGACCTTCAATTCGCGGGCTTTCTCAAACTTTTTGAAATCACTCATCCCCTTTAGGCTACTCGTAGCCGCCAACATTACATACTTGATATTGCCATTGATATTCTCCTTCCAAGTTGCAAGCCAAGTAACTGTGTTGTCGTGGATGACATCTGCCCAGCTGTGCCCGGGTGGTGGAGCCGGCACAGTTGCCTCCTTCCCGATATTGATCGTGACCTGCTCAGGTTGAACCCGCGCCTTGACCATCCCGGTTTTGGGATGCTCTCCGCGGCCACGAAACAGTCCGGGGGGCTCCACACGGAAGTTGCCAACTTTCTCTTTACGGCCGTCGAGATAACAGTAGAGATATTTCTCTTCTGCCTTGTCCTTCTCCGCCTTTAACGCCTTACGCCCAGCCAGACCCAGAGCCTTTTTCTCTGCTTTCTTCTCTTCAAAGTAGTCGTACATTGGTTTGAAGTCGCATTTTTGAAAAGACAGGATGTTGACGCTCTGTACCCGCGTAAGTATCATATACCAATATGGAATTATGGAGTTACAAACCTTGCCATCAGGACCCTTAGCACCTCCGGACTGTTTTAATATGGCTTGAAAATCTTTGAAGAAATTTTCAGCAAAGGTCGGGTTCGAAGCATGTTGCGTGTCGAGCATAGCGCCAAAAAATCCGGCAACCTCCTCTGCCTCAAGCGGCAATGTCACTTCGACCCCGCCATATTTCATCTTGACGTGCTTGGGGAGAGATTCGTAAGCCGGAGGAAAGAGCACACCATTGTGCATCAAAGTGGTCCATTTTTGGGTACCATCGGTCTCTGCCTGATTCTCCCACCACTTATACTCCTCTTCTTCCTCTTCATCAGCTTCGGCGGGCGTTTCTTCCTTCGCCTTTCCCTTTCCTTTAGCAGCGGTGGGTTTCGTATCAATGTCTTTTGTCTTCTTGCCAGTAGCCTTTTTTGTACTTTCGATAGGCTTTTGAGCAGCACCCTTTCGTTTCTTGGCAAGAGGAACATCGTCGTCCGAGGATTCTTCCTTTTTGACCCCATTTGTCTTCTTGGGTGGTGCCTTCCCTGCTTTCTTTGCTAGTTCGGATGTGTTGGCGTTGCCCGCCGATTTACGTTTCGCCCCAGCAGCCGTTGTGGCCTTGTTTTCCTCAGCACGCATTTCCTTTGCAGGTTTCGCAGCCTTCTGCTCTATTCTTTGCTTCTCTTTAGCTAGTTTAGCAGTTGCCAATGGAATATCCGAGTCAGAGGAGCCCCCTCCCGGGGGTGCCGGGGGTTTCTTCTCTCGTTTGACTAATGTAGTCAAAGGCATATTCCGACGTTTGGCTGCCGCTTTCTTAGCCAGAGGGACGTCATCATCATCACTTGAGATATCCTCTTGTTTAAACCCATTCTCCTTTCTGATACCATTGCTGGTTCGGCGACGTTTGTTCTCGAAGTTGTCAGCCTAAAACGTTTTACTATGCAAATACCCGCGCAAAAAAATGGTCAGAACGGGAGGCGTCTAACTTACCAGAGGAGCATCGCTATCTTCACTACTACTGCTCTCCTTGATCGGAGCTTGATGGCCCTTTCTCTTACCACGCCTCAAGTCTCCACTGTCTTCAACCGATCCATTTACTAGAGAAATGCCAGCCGCATTAATAGGACGTACACCGTTTGTTGATTTATTTGCCATTTTGTCAAGCCTGCTGCTCACAGATTTTGAGTTTTTATTTGTGGGAATAGGGCCAGGGGTAGTTCCGTTGGTATCAGCAGATACGGTCGACGATGTGCCTATACACAAAAACCACATTGCTTAGTAGACGTTCCCATCCTAAGGCTTTCGACCGATACAGGAATATAGAAGTCATGTCTTAAGAACGAGGAAGCGGCAGCCTCTAAAATACTCTGAAAGTTGATGCGTGCCTTTAAGCACTAAATTGGCAAGGGTAATGATAATATTCACATACCGTTTGTCCTTGCGCCACGCACGGCAGCAAGAGGGCGATCATCTTCTGATGAAGACATAATTGCAACAGCAGCAGCGGAGTACGCTCGCTTGTTAGAAAGAAAGCCCACTACAAGAAATTGATCGTAATTTGAGTGTACTGACTTTAGACGAGATGTGTAGAAGCTTTGGTGAACCGTTTGCGGAGGAAGATTGAAGCTACCGTGGGGGGGAAGTGCGCTGTTCCAGGTAGAAATGATCCGGTACAATTGAAAAAAAGCCTGCTGTAGGGATTTGTGCCCCAGAGGGGAGGGTGAAAAAACGGACAGGACGGGCGAAATTGTGGAGGGTTATCGTTGTGAGGAGGAAGGGCGAGTAGGTGAAGGGATTGGGGGGGTGAGATGTTGACGAGGGGGTTAAGAGCCGCAGCTAAAGAAGGAGCGTGAAGGGGGCCGGCGGCACGAAACTTTTTAGCCTCAGAGCGGGAGGAGACAGCAGCGAACGACAGTAACAGAATAACAGGAGAATTTTAGCGAAAAAAAGTCGGGGCAGTTGGTGTTTTCTCTGTAATGGGTGTGAAAGAGCAGGTAAGGGTGGTGGAAGGAAAGAGGAAGAAATGAAAGAACGAAGGAGAAAAAGAAAGAAGATGGTATGATATGTTGGGTTAACTGGCTGTGGGAAGAAGACGAGAGGGCAGAAAAGCTAGTGAAGTTGGGATGGGAAAGGCTTAACTTGGGGAGGGGGGTTGAGAGAAGGAGAGGTTCCGTGCTGGACGCAACACAACAACGAGGCGAGGGGGTCAAGGGCGGGAACGGAGAGGAGGTGAGTGTTGGGTGTGTGCGTGGACGTGTGGTTGAGGAGGAGAAGGAGGAGGAGAAGGAGGAGGAGAAGGAGGAGGAGGGGGGAGTGAGTTGGTGCTGCCGGAGGACGAGGAAGGGTGAACTGGACGACGAAGAAAGAGGGAAAATAAGAGAAAGAAACACCAAAAGTCCAAAAACGCCGAAAAGTCGAGTGAGGGACCTGACGCTTGTTACTATGTTCGACCTGCCTCTGCTGACTAAATAATTACGAAATAATTCAATTAAGAGAATCAAAACAGATTGAAATAAATGAATGAGTGATATCTTGGCGTTGTCATACCAGATCCCGCCGCCGCTTTGGTTGTGGGAGATCTGCTCGGGAGAGAGAGGAGGTTTAGAACCGGGGGCTTCCATCCATCGTCCCTGACCTTTTCGATTATTATTCCTTCGCCAGTCCCATTCTCACCAACCGCCCCTCCTATCCACCTCCCTCCTACCCCCCCTTTCCTGTGAATAAATACTTCCTCTCTCCCCTCCCACCATGTTTTACAGGGCAGCCAGGCCAGCCCTTCAGAGAGTTGCTGCTGCCTCCACCAGGTAATTACTCGATTGCCCTTTCGCTTGCTTTTTCTGTTACTACCCGGTCTGTTCCCCACTCATCGATCAATCTTCATCATTCTTTACTCGTTGATTCATTTGACCGTCCAATTGATAGGCCAGCTCAGAGCAATAATTATGCTACTCTTCGTGAAATTGAGGGGCGCCTCAAGTCCATCAAGAATATCGAGAAAATTACAAACACCATGAAGATCGTCGCTTCCACAAAACTTGCTCGTGCTCAGCGTGCTATGTCTGAATCCCGTACCTACGGTCAGACATCAAACACTGTCTTTGATAAGGCCGAGACCAAGCCTCAGGAAGGTGGGAAGACTTTGATCATTGCCTGCTCATCCGATAAAGGACTCTGTGGTGGTATCCACTCACAAATCACCAAGGCCGTTCGCAGAAAGTTGCTGGAAACCCCTGATGCGGACCTTGTTATCCTGGGTGAAAAGAGTAAGGCGCAGTTGGGTAGATCTTCTGCGAAGAACATTGTTATGAGCTTTGCGAATGTTGGAAAGGATATCCCTACATTTGCCGAGGCTCAGACTATCGCGGACCAGATTTTCCAGCTGGAGAAAGATTACGATAATATTGAGGTTATTTATAACAACTTCAAATCTGCTATCTCCTACGAGCCTGGTAGCGTTTATGCCTTCTCTGAGGATATCATCAAGAGCTCAGGTAAGACCTCCACAAGTCCACCTGCACCCTGCCATGTTTCCCTCCTATACTACCCCTCTTGATGATGAAAAATATTCGGATGTAAAAACATTGTTGTATTATCCAAGAGCGCAAAACCGTGTGGATATTTCCGTTGCCTTCCTTCTGAGAGAATGATCTTATAACATCCGTTTTGGACTTACTTAATTCCGTTATCGACCTTTGCTTACAATCCGAAAATCCAGCGAACTTTACCGCTTTTGAGATTGAAGATGAGCAACTTGTTAATCTTCGCGAATATGCCCTGGCCAACACTATTTTCTGGGTAAATTCTCCCATGTAGAAATGCTATGGCCCTATCTCACAATCGGTCTCGAAATAGGCTCTCTCTGAAGGTCACGCTTGCGAGATCTCTGCCCGCCGCAATGCCATGGACAATGCCTCCAAGAATGCTGGTGACATGATCAATCGATTCCAGATTCTTTTCAATCGTACCCGGCAAGCAGTCATTACTGGGGAGCTGGTTGAGATTATTACCGGGTATATTTCCTCCTCTTTGCAGTGTAAGATTTTTTCGTTCGATGCTAATATGGCTCTTTTCTCCCAGCGCTGCTGCTTCGGAGGACTCTTAAGTCTTCCGCAATACACGGTTTAGGCATGTGGTGGGAGGGCGTACTCGTACAAGCGTTGTGTCTTAGCACAGTATAGAAACACCCCCTTGCATTGATCATACTATTGGTACAATACCGGTAGTAATCAAATAAAATATATGTTTCGGATTAGATTTCACTGTTGTGGTTTTATTCTGCTCTTCGTGACTTGTAATGTGATAGGTGAAACCAGGAAGCCTCATAGCACCCGGCAGGTATCCCAGTGTCTTTGTTTGGGGCCCAAGATATCAAAGCGCACAAAGACCTACGGAAGCACCGATGAGAGAGAACAATCTCAATACTTGTAGCTTAACGCCTGTTGAACTTTCGTTGACCGACCAAACTACCCCCATTCCACCAATAATGGCCAACTTTTTCACCAAACCCTAAGGCTCGACGGCTGAGCAAGACACTATGAAAACATCGGGTATGATATAAGTTAATCGAGAGGGGGATTCATAGCATGCCTTTCACGCCAACTCCCCCTAACCCCCCAGGATTTTGGGGGGCCCAGCACAGTAATTTAGTCTCAGACTACGATTGCGATGAAATCCGAGCCGCATTTGCATAACCGTGCCAAGGTTCCCGCCACTTCGAAAGACGCTAGGCGACCTTCGAAGATTGACGGCACTCCTACAGAGCGCCGGACAGTTCAACAAGATGGACAGCTCAACGGAACTTTTATTATACATGAGTAGAATAATTGAAACAAATCCTTCTGAAGCTTAAGCTTCTTATTGCTATCCCTCACTGCTGCTCGCATTTGCTTAGAAATTTCCTTCTATTATTTCTTGACCTTCTTATCTGCTGCTCTTGTGATCACATCAAGTACTTACTGTGCCTGCTGAACCTGCTTTTCAATGCTGTCTGTAACGTGTTCGCAAGGTGCTAGTCATGTTATCGGTAAGGATACGATAGTTGGCAGGTGGCCTGCTCTACCAGAGAGGAGGCGAGAGCTGAGAACTAAAGGAGGCTTCGAGGGTGTACTGAGAAACAAAGAAGTAACTGTTCAACCAAGTATATTGAAATACTGTTTGTCGAAGTCTGCCTTTTCTATTGTAGAATCAGGTGGTCTTTTAAATACACAAATCTTGTCCATGTCTAGCATGAATGAAACTAATCAGAGGTATCAAGTGATACTCTTTGGTAAAACAAACCAAGTATCAAAATGATACTTAAAACAATACATAAAACAAAACCAAGTATCAAACATACTTAAAACAAACTAAGTATCAAAGCGATACTTAAAACAAAACATTAAAGAAAACCAAGTATCAAACAATACTTGAAACAAACCAAGTATGAAAGCGATACTTAAAACAAAACATTAAACCAAACCAATAACCGAGTACCTGTCACGAACATGGCTTAGCGAGGAAAGGGTTTTCACGTGACGCATAGTTATGAGTCACAGGTACATTATTGTTTCACACATATGACTCATTCAGGTCATATGATTTGTTATGTATGGGATTTGTGATGCTTTCGCACATGGCTCAAATATGAGTCATGGGACGTACACAGGGCGAGTGTGCCTTGCGAGTATACCTTGCGAGTATGCCTTGCGGGTAAGCCTTACGCATTTGATTTATGTTTCGCACATATGACTCGGTCGAGTCATATGATTGGTTTATTGTGTTATGATTGGTTTATGAGTTTTTCGCACATGACCTCACTATGAGGTCATGGGTTTTGAGCATGTGATCACTTTGGTCACATGACTAGTTTGTTATGATTTTGTTTCGCACATGTGACCACTGTAGGTCACATGACTATGGGCGGAAGAACACTATATAAGGAGGCCGATACAGCCGAGGAGGATAGGTTCTTCACGCTTTGTTCTAAGTACTTTTCCTACATATTACTTTAACAATTATAAAACACCTTTACGATCTTTATCTTTACTACAAGGTTATTGTTATGCCGAGGAAGGTTCTTCATGAAGACGAGTTAGAGAAGCTTACGATAGGCGTTCCTGATAGAAGACAAAGGTTTTATACTATTGGTAACGTAGGCAGAGGCCTAGAGCTATCGTAAGACAAAGGAAGAAAGAGACAGAAACGAGAAGTATCGTTCCCCGTCGCCAAGAACTAACTATCCAGAGAGGGATCATTACATTACAAAGCGTCACTTAGTACGACGCCAAACGATACAAGATGGCATCCTTCAACCCAGACGGGGAAGGAGATATTGACATCGACGATCAAAATCTTAATCTAGGAGGATTCAGCGACACCCTAGATCACGTCTTAGCAGAACCCTCGAGAGCAGCAAGCCCAGTAACCCCAGAGAAAGGATCACCAGTCGATAGCTCTCCTGCTGGAACTCCACGACCTGAGAGAATGTCGGGATCCGCAGTACCTGGGCCACTGGCACCAGCTGTTCCGGTACCAGGAACTAGTATACTTGGGATGACTGAAAATCAGTTTCAGGCATTTCTCGTAGCAACAAGAAACACAGGATATCGGATACAAGAATGTAGAAGCCGACCCGACAGCGGATACCAAGGGACCAGAGCTGCTGGAAATAATCGTTTCCAAAGTCAAAAAAGAAGCAACATTCATGAAATAATCGCTGAAGATTCATTGGCGGAAAACGACGAGGGTTCCCAGTAAACGGTAGTCTGGAAGATCCAAGATGTGGACCTGGAAAACCCATCAAGATAGCGAACTACTACAAGGCACTACACACGCAAAGAGGAGAGGAAGATGGAGATCATGTGATGATCAAAACAAAGATATACAATAAAGAAAACGAAGAAACAACAATATATGCAATGCTCGACTCTGGAGCTACCGAAGACTTCATCGACAAAGAAATCTGCGACAAATACGGCCTCCACACCAAACAAGCAAAGAAAGCAAGACAAGTCTACCTAGCGGATGGAAAGCCAAGTGCTATGGGTCCCATAACCCATACAACGACAGTACCTATGGACGTTGACAGCCATAGAGAAACGGCAACCTTCCAGGTGGCAAATCTTAAAAACCATGAGATAGTCCTAGGAATGCCATGGTTAAGAAAGCACAATCCGATGATCGATTGGAACAAGAATAAAATAACCTTTACCAGCGAACTATGTGTGACACAATGTCTCAATAGTTTACCTGTGGTTTACTCGATACCAATACGAGAAGCGGAAGAAGAAACTTTGCATGCAAAGTTTAATGAGATATGGCAAGATAAGAAAGTCCGGATACGAAGACTAGACAAAGAGGCAAGAGTGCCTACCAAGGGTTCCAAAGGGGCAGCAGGACACGACCTATATGCCAACGAAGAGATCAAGATACCTGCCAACAGACAAGCAATGATAAAGACAGGAATAGCCATCGGAATACCAGAAGGCACCTATAGACGGATAGCATCCCGCAGTAGTCTAGCAGTCAAACATCGACTCATGACCATGGCAGGGGTAATCAACGTCGACTATACAGGAGAAATCAAAGTGGTCCTAGCCAACCTGGCTCAAGAGGACTACCAAGTCCAAAAGGTCGATCGTATCGCACAGTTGATAATCGAAAAAATCAACAATGAGGATCTACACGAAGTAGATCAACAGGAAGGAAGCACAAGAGGAGAAAAGGGATTTGGAAGCATGGACCAAAACCAGCCCGATACAACAACAAGAATCGAGATCAAAGAGATCACAGCACAAGCCTTTGGGAGGTACTATGGAAGAGGAGATACAACAGGAATTCTCAAATGGACATACGAAGACGAAAAAGCAGTCCTCGCAAAAATCAACATCAGTACAGAGCTAGCAATCCTGGATAAGAAATACCAAAGCAAAAAGGGATAGAAAGAATTGGTTCTAAAAGAATACCATCAATTCACGAACCTATTCCAAGAAGAGGAAGCTACAGGGCTACCACCTCGAAGACCAGGAATCGATCACGAAATTCAGTTGGACAAAGACGAAAAACAGGAAAAACAAAGGAAATTCCCTACAAAAAATTATACCCACTAGGAGAAGCAGAGCTCGAAGAACTTAGGAAGTATATCGAGTAAAACTTAAAGCGAGGATGGATCAGGGACTCTTTCGCATCAGGGGGATCCCCAATACTATTTGTCAAGAAGAAAGAAGGAAAGATGAGACTCTGCGTAGACTACAGAGCCCTCAATTCGCTTACCAAGAAGGATCGATATCCACTACCCTTGATTGGAGAAGCACTGGATAGACTGCAGTCAGCAAAATACTTCACCAAACTTGACATCAAGGATGCATACCACAACATACGCATCAAGGCAGGGGACGAATGGAAGACTACATTCGCCTCAAGATACGGAATGTTCGAATACTTGGTTATCCCCTTTGGGCTAGCCAATGCACCGGCTTCATTCCTGAGATGGATCAACAAGGTACTCAATAAGTACCTCGACATATGCTGCATCGTATACTTGGACGATGTACTCATATACTCGGAAAACATACGACAACACCAAAAGGACATTAGCAATCTCATGGCGGCAATACAAGGATCAGGAATGAAGATCAAACTAACAAAATGCGAATTCCATAAAGAAGAAACGGAATATCTTGGATTCATTATCAATTGCAGCGGGGTCAAGGTCGACCCTGTCAAGACAGCAGTTATATGGGATTGGGCAAAACCAAACAACAAAACAGATGTTCAATGCTTTATGGGATTCTGCAACTTTTATCGAAGGTTCATAGAGGGGTTTAGCAGGCTTGCAAAACCACTCTATCACCTAACGAAAAAAGACAAGAAATGGGAATGGGGAGAAACGGAACAAAAAGCATATGATGTAATACGAACGCATCTAACATCGACACACATATTGGTCCATTTCAACCCAAACTAAAGGACAATGATAGAAACGGATGCCTCAAAATATGTATGCTCAGGCATACTATCGCAACAATGCGATGATGGAAAATGGAGGCCAGTATCCTATCGATCCAAGACAATGACCCCCACAGAGTACAACTACGATGTTGCAAACAAAGAACTAATAGTAATAGTTCAAGCATTAAAAGAATGGAGAAGATACGTTTCGAACAACGACCATCCAGTCCGAGTTCTAACCGACCACAAGTACCTGGTGCCGTTCATGACTACAAAAGAACTGAACGACCGCCAGATAAGATGGATGGAACACCTCAACAAATACAACTTC